TATATATATGCAGAATCATTGCACTATAATAGAAATAGAACATAGCATAAAATTGTAAATATTGCTTACTGCAGCAATGGAAAACCGTTTTATTTTGACAGTGAGTTTCTGCAGGGGGTTAGGAGATTAGTTTTCCCAGATTATATCAGTCTTTCTTTAATGAGAATGGCGGGGACATATTTTATACTACAAAAGCACTGAAAATTATTAATTTATTCCCAACAAATTCAGTATTTTCAGTCCCAAGCATTCAAGAGTTATGATTTCAATGTTTCACTGCATGTTTCAGTAATCAAGATGAGATTGGCAAGGGAGGGTCCAAAGTTATAGCAGTGCTATATAATCTGAACTACAAGAAAAAATACAGATTTTGGAGCAGTATAAAATTACTGACATGATTTAATGACAGGCTGGATTTTGGAGAGATTAATATGCTATAGCAAGTCTTCATGAGCTGAAGTTATTAAAAGGCAAAGGTAGGAGGTGATGAAGTTTAATGGAAGTGTAAATAATGGAATGACTATTTACCATGTTGACAGTTTTGGTAGCTGGACATTGACATTTAGATGTCAGAAAAAACAACTGCAGATGAAGGGGGAGAAATCAGATCAAAGAAGGAAGTTAAGGAGTTATTGAGGTATTGGTGGTTATTAAAGCAGTGGGAGCCAGTGAAGCCATCCTGTGCTGGGTTGAAGCAAAATATCTTCTACATATACCCACAAAGGGTCTCTGCCTCTGTTTGCATTTAATCCCAAGGTTTTCTACATGAGTTATCTGTTGTGCTGCTGGATCCACCAGGCCTTGCACCACCATTTTTTTGGTTCACCAATCTGCTTCACATGAAAGGCACTGAGTGGGGATAATAGAAATAAGGGGCCCTATTAGGTTATAGTCTTTTGCTGGAAGTCAGTGGGACTCCATTTCCCCACCTGCTGAAGTGCCTGGAGTAGTCTCAGAGCAGTTGCTTCAGGCTATCTGCAGATACAGGAGGATATCACTACCTATCCAAACCTTGAAAGTCTTGAGTTACCTATGAATCTGTGAAATCTATAATCTTTTAAAAATAAGATTTAACACTTTCAAACCATATTGCACCAAAAATTTGAATCAAGCTGTGCGCTCTCCCCCCCCCCACCATCCCCCGAGAAAGTCATAACAGAAAATCACTTCACTCTCTTGGTCTCTGCCTCAATTGGGAATTTAGTATCACATCTATAAACACCCTTAGATGTTTATTTCTCATTGAAATGAGGAAAAATGGCTTGACACAAACTGTTTCATTTAATAGACCTGTAAGAAAAACAAATGAAATGAAGTTCTGGTGCTCCAAATGTAGAGAAATGGACTATGGCACTGGACCCCTTTCAGAAAGCTTACCCTAGATGTGATACTAAATTCCCATTGAGACAGAGACCAAGTGAGTGAAATGATTTTCTAGCCAAGTAGTTATGACTTTCTCGAGGGAGCTTGGAGACAGCTTGATTCAAATTTCTGCTCCAACAAATTTGTTTTAAAAAATGTAAAACAATTTCAACAAGAAGCCACAAAAGTGCTCCTTTCCCTACTGTCCCAGCATCTCCACCCCCCTCCTCCTCCCCCATGCCTTCCCCTCACTCTGAGGATGGCATTTTAACCCAGGTGTCTGGCAGGGAGGCTGCTCTGACACACTGTAATTACAGAGCATCAAAGCAGACTCGATTCGCCCCTCTTCCCCCCAACTCCCGGAGCACATCTATAAACACCCTTAGGTTCTTGGTTTTTTCTCATTGAAACGAGGAAAAATGGTTTGACATGAAAAGTTTCATTTCATAGACCTGTAAGAAAAGCAAAGGAAATGAAGTTCTGAATCTCCAAGTGTAGAGAAATGGACTGTGGCATTGGACCCTTATAGACATTCTCCAGGAGTGGGAGGGATATATTGAGTCTGCTCCAATTCACAGCCTCCCTGCATGTGTATAGGTGCCCTAAATGTTTTTTTTTGTCTAAGCCAGTTTTTCAATTTTTCAGCTGGGTTGCTGAACTGATACATTAATGATTTGTAGAGCTTTAGTTTTCACCAAGAGAGTAAACTGAAATTTGAGAGGGCAAGAAGGCTTCTGGACAAATCAAGAATGGCTATCACTAATCTAATATTAAATACTGAGAATTTTCTCCTTTCATAAAGGCAAGATTCAGGAGGCATTATTTTTTCAATCACACAAGGTAAGCCAGACTAGTCTTAATTTTGGAAGCCAAATTAAAAAGCAGCTTCCTGCTGAAAGCACCCTCTTGTGGATTTTGAAGACCTTCACAGTTTGAAAAGACATTTAAACATCTCAGTTGTGGACATAAGAAACTGGCAGGGTGTTAATAGTGCAGATAGAGCACTTTGAAGAAACAATATTTTAAATAGATCACAAATCATTCAATTTAAACGCTCCTAAATATGCCCAAATACTGTTTATCTTCATGGGCTTCCAACTCATAAAAAAACACGGCCATTCATAGCTTTAAGTATGCACACTAAGGCCCCAAATACAAGGGGCCTTTCTCAAAATGTACAAAGTCCGATTGTTTTTCCAAGAATTAAATTTGCCTGAATTACAGCTGATTTTCACCAGAACACTCTAATGCTTTTTCCTTCTATAAGGATTGTTTATGCACCAACTTTCTACTCTCTGTGTTGGCATTCAAATTGTTGTAAAAGTTCAATTTTTTTCCTAAAAAAGGGGGAAGTTTATTGCTTAAAAAATCAGGCCTCTTATGAATGACTGAAAATCAAAGGGTGTAATGGAAATAGTCAGATAACGTTGACCAAGAGTTAACTTGGGTTACTTTGGAGAAAAGGACAAATAATAATTGGTTTGCTGCTCATGTTTCTAATGTTCCTGTATGTAGTGATGAGGTTGGGGGGGGAAATATTTTAGCTCATTTTGAGTTGGATGCCCAGTATTTTTTAGTACTCTTCCCTGCCTTGTAACAGCATAGTCTACAAATAGATACCGTATAAGAAGTATATGCAGGTTTGATGTGTTTGGACTGAATATGATCTGTGACTGAGTAAGCATGAAGTAAGGCAACGAAGCGGGAATTTTTTACCTTATACAAGGCAACTGGCATAATATATTGATTAGTATGAAAGACCATAGAACAAATTCAGACTATAAGTATAATGGTTGACTGACTGCAGCTAAATTCTAGTGTTCCTGAAAGGTAGGCTAGAACTGCAGGGTTCTTTGCACAAGAGGATTAATGATTTCTCTTTTTCCACACAGTCGGGGTACTGAGAATAGGCTAGTGCTTCGACGGCAGACCGTCCTCCGGGAGAAGGGCAGAAGGCTGGCCAATCGAGGGCCAGCATACATGTTTAATGACCGGTCAACAAGTCTGTCACTTGAGGAGGAGCGCTTTCTGGATGCGGCAGAATACGGTAATATTCCTGTGATTCGTAGAATGCTGGAAGAGTGCACTTCACTCAATGTGAACTGTGTGGACTTCATGGGGCAGAATGCTTTGCAGCTAGCAGTTGCCAGTGAGCACCTGGAGATCACAGAACTTCTGCTGAAGAAGGAGAACCTGTCACGGGTTGGGGATGCCTTACTCTTGGCTATTAGTAAGGGGTATGTTCGGATAGTTGAAGCCATCTTAAACCACCCTGCATTCGCTGAAGGCAAGAGGTTGGCACTAAGTCCCAGCCAGTCAGAACTCCAGCATGATGATTTCTATGCATATGATGAAGATGGAACTCGGTTCTCCCATGATGTTACTCCAATCATTCTAGCTGCCCATTGCCAGGAATATGAAATTGTTCACACTCTCTTGAGGAAAGGGGCTCGCATTGAAAGGCCACATGACTATTTCTGCAAATGCACTGAGTGCAATGAGAAGCAAAAACATGACTCTTTCAGCCATTCTAGGTCCAGAATCAATGCTTACAAAGGTCTGGCAAGCCCTGCTTACCTGTCGTTGTCCAGTGAAGACCCAGTAATGACGGCTTTAGAACTCAGCAACGAGCTTGCTGTGCTTGCAAACATTGAAAAAGAGTTCAAGGTGAGTGAAACTGGTTAAATGTTCTCCTGCTACTGCCTGTATGAGGATTGTCAGGAAAATCAGTACATGTTTGATAAGTGCAGGTGGGGCATAGCTTTCAAAAAGGCATTGCTCAAACCCTTGTTGGCAGTTGCCAAATACCAAAAGGGACCTAGAGATTCTGCCACCTTCTTGGCCTTAGGGACTTTCTTAAATTAGGTCGTCATCACACAATTAGCAGATAATGTGGAGAAACTTGTACCTGTCCTGTGTATAGAATATTTTTATTTCTGGGAGTCCCCTTACTGCCTTGTGTGGATTACCAACATTACTGCTTGTAGTATGGGGAGGGGATGGCATTTAACTGCTACTTCTCTTCCTACAGAGGTGGGTAGAGAATGGTCAGGGAGGGGAGTGGAATGGACAGAGCTATGGCTTCCCTTGACTAGCAGGGTAAATATGAACCTTTATAGACTAACTAAATAGGATATGTAGAGAGAGAGAGCACAAACCTCCACAAACCCAAGTTCACTTGATCAGATGCTGTGAAAGGGCATGCAGAAAACAAAGTAAAAGAAAGGAGAGAAATTTTAGAATACAAAAAACAAGGGAGCAGGGGAGGGTGCAGTGCTAGGAGAGGAAAGCAAATGAGCTGTAAACCCATTGGAACAAAAGGGGTCACAAAAGCTAATCCAGGTAATGAAATAAGAACCCATAGTCCCTGTTTAAACCATACTTAACACAGTCCAGTTTGTAGATGATTGCTTGTTCTGGAATTTCCCATTTAAACTGGGGGCTTTGGGGGGGGGGGGGGGTTTTTTCCGGAAAGAGGATAACTAAGGGCTTAGACGGGGGAACGAGACAGCACTTGAC